CTCAAATAAATTTGTTAGTCTCTAAGGTGCCACAAGTACTCCTGTTCTTTTTGTGGATACAAACTAACACGGCTGCTACTCTGAAACCTGTCTTTGTGGCAAGATGTTTACCAGCAGGAGTATTCCAAAATATAGTGTTGAATCTAATTTAAAACGTTATTTTCAGTTGCTGATTACAGTTTAAACAAGGCTGGAAATCCTTCTGTGATGGCAAAAGCTATAAGGCTGTTTACAAATACAGGGAAATGCTTCTTGGAGAAGACTACACTGAGCAAAATGAGTGTAACTCTTTTTTCAACGAGTTTCTTGGAGAAATTTTATTTAGAAATATTCCTGCTTATGTATATTCAGTGTCACCCTCTTCTTTCTCTATATATTATCTGGGACATTTATATGAATCTTTGTTTTCTGTGGCCTATTTCTAGATCTGTGAGAAATGTTCACTACAAAAGCAGGGGAAACTGGAAATGTAGACCAAGGTTTGTGAAAAGGTTTTTTAATGTTCCTGAATCGTTCAAGCAATGCTGGGTTGATTTATTGCTTTGCATAAAAACAGTCAGGAATTTGTTATCCTAGAGGTAGGATACATAAATATTTTGTGTCAAAACATTTTTTTGATGGAAAATTGGATTTTCAACTGAGTGAAAAAAATTTCCAAACATTGCTTTATGTATATTTTTTTTTCTGAAAAACAAATGCCCGAAAACCAAAATACTTCAGTCAAAAATGGAAATATTTTGATTTCCAGCCAAAATGGCTTGGTATTTGAATTTCTACTGAAAAATCAACATTTTCTGCAGGGAGAGGAAAAACCCATTTTTCAACCATCTCTATTCACTGAGATTCAAAACTAGCGGAGACGTGTGCACGCCCATATGAGCATAAACCACAGAAAGTGTTCAGACACTCTTCACTGCTTCCGAGTCAGCCCAGTCTGCGGTAACCAAACGCTCTGCCTTCTGGGCACTTGGTGACGTATAAGAAAGAAGTTTGGGTGAGCTCTCTTGCATCAGAGCCAGGCAGCAGCATACTGGAAGAATCTTCATAATTATCTGAAGAAACAAAGGTTCTTGTTTTCATAGAAGTAGCCTTAGTAACAAAGGCCTTGTCTACACTACAAAGTTTTGTCAGCAAAAGGCAGCTTTTGCCGACAAAACAGGGGTGGTGTCCACACTACAAAGCCACTATTGGCGGCAAAACTCTGCTGTTTTGCCGACAAAATAAAACCACCTCAACAAGAGGCATAAAGTTAAAGCGACAACGTGTCAGCGTGGACACCGCTGTTCGTTCTGTCCACAGAACTGGCTTCCACCAGTATCCCACAATGCCTGCCGTGACCGCTCTGCTCACTGTTTTGATCTCTGCTGCCCTGCAGGCATGCACCCCTCCCCTTTCAAAGTTCCAGGAAGTATCTGAAAGTTGAGTGTGTTGCTCCCTTTGGGGAACAAAGAGCAAATCATTAATGTTGAATGCTCCTGTTCTGCCCCACACTAGGAACAGAGGGGCTGACTCTTCTGCTTTGACATTCCTCAGCACGGAGAGCTCACAGAGCTGCTCCCGGGAATCACAGAACCATAGGCAGGCAGAACGGTCTGCTTCCGGAGAGACTGCTGGGCTGAGCAGAGATGGGGGCTGAGATGGGGGAGAGGGGGTGTTCCCCTCTCCCTGCCGCAGGATAGGTCAGTCAGCCTGCTGTCTCCCCCACCCCAGACACACCACTCTCCTCTCCCTCCCCCTACACACTTCAGTTGAAAAAGCAGCTGACAATATACTAGGATGCTCCCAGGAATGATGGGATTGAGAAACCTGCATCATGTGACGCTGTACCTGCCCCACGAGGCATTGCAAACCCTTCCCAAAGCACCCTGCGGCCAGTTGCATAGTGGGATAGCTACCACAGTGCTCTGCTCTCTGTGTCGATGCAAGAGCTGCTAGTGTGGATGCGCTCTGCTGACGCAAGGAGCTAGTGTGGACTTGCAACAGCGATTTTAATTAAAGCACTTTAATTAAGGCTATGTCTACGCTACACAGTTTTTAGCGACACAGCTGAGTCGACACAGCCATGTCGCTAAAAGTCAGGCAGTGTAGCCGCTGCTTGTGCCGGCAAAATACTTCCACCCCCAATGAGCGGTGTTCACGGTGTTCACACTGACGCTTGCCGCAGCAAAACTTTTGTCTTTCGGGGGCCGGGGGAGGCTGGCACCTCTGAATGACGAAAGTTTTGTCGCTCAATTGCCAGTATAGACATCGCCTAACGCAGCATAACTTTTGCAGACAAAACTTTGTAGCGTAAACAAGGCCAAAGAATGAAGAGAGAGGCAAAAAATCCAGTGATACCTAAGCAGGGTTATTTCGAAATAGAATGCGTGTCCAGCGATTTCCAAGAGTTACCTACCCACCTCTCAAGGTCTTCCCGGTATACTGGGCTCATCAGCTACTGATTTTTCTTAGCGTATGCGCAAGAGCCCTCAGGTGGCACGTGACCAGGAGTCATCACCGAATTTGGTCTGCTGGTTGGATCATTAGCTTCCCCGGCCTGGGCTGGGTACTGATGGGGGGAGCGATGTGAACGCTGATCCATGCTCCCCAGCTACTGATTAAGGAACAGTAAAGCCAAATCCTGTTTACCTGACTTGCTGCAGTCCATTGAATGATGCAGGCTACTCACATGAGCAGAATGAGCAAACTCAGTATCTCATTCCTTCTATTAGAAAAGCCGTTAACTGCCAGAAAAATGATGAGCCTTATGGCGGGTGTTGAGGCGCTGTAGATGTACTAGGGATTTGCAGCCTCTCACCTTGACTGTAGTGAAAGCAGAGTGGATGTAAGCACCTTGTTTTATTCCTTGAAGTAACGCGCGCATGGACCACACCCACTGAGCCTGGCCCCCGAGGTATTGAGCGCCAGCAGTACAAAACATGGATTGTGTCTCTTCCAAGGGGAAACTGCTATGTCAGGTGTTCTTACAATGTGTGTGGGAGGTTTGCCGGTGGTTACAGTGTAGTGCTATAAGGAAGTTGCTAGTGAACTGCAAAGCCGTGCTCATGATCCCAGTTCATGTTTATGTAGCGACCGCCTTGGATGAATCAGCTGCAGGATTGAACCCAGGGCCTCTCTATCTAGAAACTCACGGTTTTACTGCTTAAACTAAAGGATGAAAGCTCAGAGGCAATTGCAGACTCAAACTGCTATACCTAGCTTTGCCAGAGAGGGGGACAAAGAGAGCTGCATTGTGTTAGCTCAGTTACATATTAAATACATGTAGGCTAAATTCTCTCCATTTGGATGAGGAGTAGGGAGTTCTCCTTAAAAGCAACCAGCTAAGCATCTCACTGTAGCACAGTTGCTAATAAGCCAGCCTGCAAACCGTGCCCCAAGTGCCCATGGTGCCCATGCAGTTAAGCTGAGTGGCTCCCAGGGAGTTTCACCCCATCGATTCTGGTCTGGCCTTATTAAATGAAAATCTCTATCTAGAGAATCCGTCAGACCATTTCCCAGGTGTTTCATTTTACAGCATTTGCATCTGTCAGTCATGGGTGCGTTCCAAGAGCATTCCAGCCCCTCTTTCGTGACCCCCAGCTCCTCTATGATGTGTAGCGCCACATCTGACATGAGCATAGGCTTCCCAGGAATGACTCTACCTCCTGAGTGTGTTGCTGCGATAGGAATACAGTAATATAAGCTTTGCTTAAAGAAATGAGCCATTTGTGTACCAATTGCTCACAGCTATGCAGTGCTCCGTTCTCCCGGACACGGCCATCCGTTGCAAGCAGCAAGCCCCGCTGTGCTGGGATGCTGTGCAAAGCAGAGGGATGGAGAGAACTATGAATAGCATTAGCCAAGTTCATTATGACAAGCCGTCGCTAAGAAGTATAGTCCTTGGCATGGCAACTACTAAATGGAAATTAAGGGCCAGCTTCTGCTGTCTGTTACAATTGGTCGAAATCCAGAGCAGCTCACTTTAGTGGCTCCACCTCTCTTTCCTGAAACTTTTATCATCCTTGCTGGCCAGTCTGCGGTGGCACTGGTCAGTGGGTTGGGCTGTCACGAAGGAGCACAGCTAGCCTGCACACCTGACTGGAGGCTGATTCTGTGGTGCAGAGCTGGCGGGCAGAACTATAATTAAGTCGACTGGCCTTCTGAAATCGTCTTGGTGAAAGTCAGATGGTAGCCTAGTGCTAGTTTACGGATATTTTGGGGTAGGAAAATTGAATTTAAAATACACCATTGTCGAGACCTGTGGCTTTTGTATGTTTATCTCCTCCTTCGTTTTTGTTTTGTTTCCTCTCCAGGCCTACTGGAAAAGGATGAATCAGCTTTTGCAAACCCTGAATCAGAAGCTTGCAACCCTTAGCCATGGGCAGGAAGGAATAGTCAAGATCAATGCTGCTGTCTCTGACAAGCTGGTTGCCTTTAAAAGTAAACCGCCGTCAATTCAGAGAGAAATCCTGACCGTCTGTAGTGACCCCTACACTCTGGCGCAGCAGCTAACACATGTGGAATTGGTAAGTGCAGCACATGTGCAATTCCTAACGTGGCATTCAAGGGTGGCATTTTAAAGCCCAGCAGCAACTGTGTCGTCAAAACCCAAGTGAAATGCCTCTGCTGCTGCAGCATAGTTAGCCCAGTATCAATGCTGCAGGAGGCAGCATGGTTAGTGGATTAGAGCAGAGGACTGAGAAGCAGGATATGTGCCACGGCTTCGTCCTGTGACTATGCGCAAGTCACTTAGCCTCTTCCTTTCCCTCGGTTTGCTCAGCTGTGAAATGAGGATGATAATATTCCCCCGCTTCGCGGTGAATTTAGTTCAGTTCCATTTGCAAAGTGCTTTGAGCCCCTTGAATGGAAGGTGCTGTGGAATGGCTGACCTCTATCATCCCAATGTTGTTCGACAGTCAAGCTTTTACGTTGCTCAAACCCAGTTCTCGGCTACACAAGCATCTTCGTTTGTTGGTGTTTTTCCTTTCTCAGTTTCATAGACCTGAACTTATGAGACTTCAGGTACCTGTGCGCCCACCCAGTCCTACCGTCCCCCTCCTCCCCACCCAATCCGCTCCTCAGCAGGCTTTTGATGATTGTTGCTCCCTCTTCTGGTGAGGCGCGGGCAGTTTCTTCAAGGTGGTGGGGTGACACGAAGCCTTCTCTCCCATGCAGTTTCAAGTCCACTGCATGGGTCTCCTACCTCCCCAGGCAAAGATTATGTGGAAAAAAAACGAGGAGTCTGGTGGCACCTGAAAGACTAACAGATTTATTTGGGTATCAGATTATGTGATGGTGTATCATAACTTCACTGCTGCTCCACATCGCTGCATCTGTCCTCAAACCTCTTGATACCCTTAAGCTTCCCCATTGCTGGTGCCTGGGAGGGCACTGTTCACTTCTGAAGCCCCAAGCGTATTTTTCTCTGTTCATCTGAATGGAAAATAACTTTAAAAAAAAATAAATGAAACCGTGTGGGGATGAAGGGTTGGAGGGAATATTATGGAACTTGAAAGCTTTCTAATCCCACAGCCAGCCATATTCTACTCCTCAAAGAGGAATCTCTTGGAAGAAAACCCATGAATTATAGGATCCATCTATAGGATCCACCAATCAAAAGGTTGGTTTTCAGCATATGTGACTTTGGCCCTCCTAGCTTTCTGTAGCTCTAACTAAACAGCACCAGAGACTGCGGAAGCCTTTTGTGGCAGGGTTTGGGTTTTTTCCCCCCACGGAACAGCTTGACTCTAAGATGAGATCCCCTGTGATGGGACTGCAGTGAACAAAGAATGATGGATTGAAACAATCTGCAGCTTTTGTTCCGCTTCACTATAAACAGAGGTCCACTGTGTCTGCTCCTACTTCCTTGCACCAGGTGTAGTAATTACTTTGCAGTCTGTTAGGATGGTGATTATTCTTCAGCAATCTGAGCTACCCTGTCACCTACATTTCCTTATGAGCAGCAGAGAAATGCCATGGGCTTTGCTTATAGGACCAGCCCTGAAGTCTTTACTCATTGACTTTGCAGGTGCCTGAGGTGAGGGTCTCAAGATTGAGCTGAGTGAGTTCACTTTGGTGCTCAGTTACCCACCAATAATTCGTTACTGAGATCAGGTGGGATTTTCAAAAATGCCTGAGGGCTTCAGGAACTGAACTCCTCTTGAAAGTCAGTGGTTCTTCGGTGCTTAATTAACGCCCTGTTGAAAATTTAAAATTACACACATAATATATCGTAACCTGATGGAATAATAATAACAATTAATAACTAGCTTTTTATGACAGGGTCTAGTAGACCACCTCTGCCTTCTGCTGGAGGTGTCGGCTCCCTGATACACCCTGCTTCAGGAAAACCTGCTCAGGCCAGACTACCAACAAGATTTAGTCTTCTAGAGGCCTAGAAGGGCCAGGAGAGACACCGACCAATCAGGAGCCATCAGACCAGTTAAAGAGGCTTGCCTGGTATCTCTGACGGGCAGTGCTTGCTGAGGCTGAGACAGGAGTGAGGTGCCTGTGTACTAGTCCAGGGGTTCTCAACCTTTTTCTTTCTGAGCCTCCCCCCACTCCACAACATGCTACAGAAACTTCACGGCCCAACTGTACCACAACTATTGTTTTTCTCTATATAAATGCTACAGCCGGCATTAAGGGGTAGGAAGCAGGGCAATTGCCCGGGGGGGCCATGCCACAAGGGGCACTGCGAAACTAAGTTGCTCAAGGCTTCAGCCCCAGGTGCTGGAGCTCAGGGCCCTGGGCTGCAGTCCTGCATGGTGGGGCTTCCGCTTTCTGCCCTGGAGTCTAACTCCAGCTATGTTTGGTGGACCCCCTGAAACCAGGGAGCCCCAGACCCCTGGTTGAGAATCACTGTACTAGTCCACAAGCTTGGGGCCAGGTCAGGGCCTTTGCATAACACACTGTGACTAAGCAGTTACCATTTATTTTTGTTGGATAATTAAAGGCACCTACAGTCAGATTTTGAGTTTATTGTTTAACCATTTGAAGGCTGACGCTGAGCTCATGGCAAGGGCCGTTCTGTTCCAGCCTGGCTGCCACACTCTTCTATAGAGCTTTTTATCAGTAGATCTCAAAGAGCTTTACAAAGGAGGTCAGTATCATTATTTCCATTTTACAGATGAGGAAACTGAGGCACAGAGAGAGGAAGTGACTTGCCCAAGGTCACCCAACAGGCCAACGGAAGAGCTCGGACTAGAACCCAGGTCTCCGGAGACCCAGTCTGGTGCTCTACCCACTAGGCCACATTGGCATGATAATAACAAGAGGTAGCTAATGTAACTAATGTTCTATCCTACTTCCCTGTATTGGATAAAGTGTGACCTTGGGCACATGTGCAAGTCAAAGGGAGCGGCACGAGTGTAACCAAGATCCGAACTTGGCCCGTAGGGCTCAGTTCATTAAGAACTTAGTAGCAGCCAGCCTTGGTATAATCCATTGTGATGCTGATGTCAACCCCTGTAAAATATCACCTCTTACTTTATGTTTTCTCAATCCATTTGAAATGTATTGACAGACGTCCAAGCCCAGAGACAAAGCTACGGGGCAGTAGGAAGTAGCTCTCTCCAGCATAGAAGGAGAAGCTTTGTTAGCTGTAAGGCAGGTGCACTCATCGTTTGCGATGGTCATTCCTTTCCGAAACCCTGTGAAACGTCTCATTTCGACCAAACGTGTAGAGCTAATGCCAAGCAAACCTTTCAGGAGATGTTACTCCATGCTCCCTTTGAGCTTGTGTCGGGGAGCCTGATTCTTTGGGGAGCTAAACTGATACCCTGTGCAGGCAGGATCGCAAACACTAGCTTATTTTTTAACCTGTAACGCCTCTTGCCATTTTAGTGGCACTTACTCATGATGGGGGTGGGGGGAAACCGCAACTGTGCCAGAGTTTTATAGCTGTTGGACATCCCTCGTCCTTTAACTGTCAGTTCGATACTTTATTTACTTTTATTTTTGACACTGGAATGATGCTCTCCGGGTATCTAGGTGCATGCATCTTCATTGCCATATTTCCTCCATTTGCATATAGTCAGTACCTTTGGTCCCCTTCAGCGAGCGCAGTAGTAGTAAGGGCCAAAGCGATATGTACTTAGCTTTTACTTATCACTGGAGATCACAAAGCATTGGTTATCCCCCTTTTATGGGCAGGGAAATGGAGACACTGAGAGCGGCAGCGATTCGCCCAAAGTTACACAGCAGGTCAGCAGCAAAGCCAGGAACAGAACCCAGATCTAATGGCTTCCAGCTCATGAGCCCGCCGTTTTATGAACAATACAGACAGGTCTTCAGTGTGGTTTATCACCACCACAAGCTATTTATATTCTGTTGGCTGGAGGTAGTGAGATGATTTTATTCTCCCCTGTTTATCGCTCCCCTGTTTCTGTTGCAATAATATTGATTGTTTTTGTCAAAGTTAAAGTGGGGAACTTGCTGGCTGCATAGCACTTCATTAAAGCCCCATTTCAACTTGATGCCAGAACTTGGCTAGTAAAGCTAAAGTCTTGCAAAGACAATAATAAGAGATGCTGGGGATTACTCTTGCTCTCTCTCTTTGTCTCCGTCTCCCAAAAGGAAAGGCTGAGTCACATTGGGCCTGAAGAATTTGTGCAGGCGTTTGTACACAAAGACTCTTTGGACAGCACCAAGGTAGGATGTGTCACCATGGAAAGTGTCTCTCCTGCAATTATTTGGTTTGTTCTAAATGAACTGGTTTGAGTGAGAGTGTAAAACTAACTGTGATTGAGGAATATGTGGATTAGGGCCATGCTACAGGCAGTGCACACACTTAGGGCTTGTCTTCACTACTGCACTACATCCTCGACAAGCACGGTGTAGACACCCCTTTAAGTTGATGTAACTTACATCACTTGGGGGGTGGCTTTTTCACACCCTGAGGGACGTAACTTACATCAACGTAAGTGGTAGTGTAGACAAGCCCTTAGTCTAATGATGCAGTGAGGATGGAGCTCAGGGTCAAGATTCTCATTGGTGGATCATTGCCTTTGAAATTCCCTCCTGCTGGAAATATGTCTGAGCCTCAGACTGGCCACCTTTAGAGACCACTAGATATGTAGCCCTGTGGTGTTCAGGCCACTAGCTGTGTGTTCTCGTGTCTGTAACATATCTGTAACACTTGTAGAATGTGTCCAGGTACCATATTAATGAATTGGTCTGTTATGAGTGAGTGTAATCATCATCATCATCTTCTTCTCGTTACATAACAGCTTGGAGCCCAAGGGACAGTAGGGAACGGCATGCAGTATTGGGACGTTAGGGCCTGATCCAAAGCCCACTGCAGTCAATGGGAGTCTTCCCACTAACTCCGGTGGGGTTTGGATCAGAGTGAGTTCATTGACAGAGCTGCTGATGCTTCATCAATAAGGAAAATGACTTCACTGCCACAGAGTGATCGTTTTGAAATGTTTCCGTACTACTACTACCAAAAAAAAACCCCACGTCAAGATAAGGCCAAATCCTGCTGTCAACATCCCATGAGGGCTCCTGTTGAGTTCATTGGGACACACACACACACACACACACACACACACACACACACA